CAGCCCCTCTGCACTGCACCTCCCTCTCCAGTGTAGACGAACCCTGGAGAGAACCAGCCAGGCCATGCTGTGATCTGGGGCTGGGGTGTCCTCTGGATCCGGAGGCAGCTAACACCCCTCTGCAGGGCTCTGGGGACTGGCTCCTGGCAAAGGGTTCATGCCAGGCAGCGCTGTGCCATAAATAGCACCCAAGGACAGTGGGAGGGAAAGCAGGTGGGCAGCAGGCCTGAGGCTGCAGGTGGACGTGTGGACAGGGTGGGGCTGGTGGCATGGCATGGACAGACTGCCAGCTCCCAGGGTGGCCGTGACGTGGTGTTGGACTGAGGTATGGACTTGCTGGAGCCCATCCCTCCTGCCTGGAGAGGCTGAGCCAGAGGGATCTGTTGCCAGGGGCTGGTCAGACATGAGCTATGGTTTGTGCACAGACACCCAGGCACAGCTCCGCTGGGCAGCCACCCGTCTTCACATGCAACACGAGGAGCCTCCTCTCCAGCAAACCCACTGGCTTTGCAACGCCCCAGCCTCAGCCAGAGGCCGGAGACCACAGTGCCTGGCCCCTTGCCTCTGATCTGCCTCCAGTAGGGCCCCAGTGGGACCTGTGTCACTCGCCGGATCAGGTGCTCAGCCTTGCCCATTAGGAGCCAGGGGCACCGCCCCAGAGCAAAGGGAGTTACTGGGTAAGGCTCATTCCCTGCAAGCAGCACGTAGGATGCAGGGCAGGGGAGGGGTCGCATATAGGATCCAGGGCTGGGAGAGGGGTCGCACGTGGGACTCAGGGCCGGGGGAGGGGTCGCACGTAGGATGCAGGGCAGGGGAGGGGTCGCATATAGGATCCAGGGCTGGGAGAGGGGTCGCACGTGGGACTCAGGGCCGGGGGAGGGGTCGCACGTAGGATGCAGGGCAGGGGAGGGGTCGCATATAGGATCCAGGGCTGGGAGAGGGGTCGCACGTGGGACTCAGGGCCGGGGGAGGGGTCGCACGTAGGATGCAGGGCAGGGGAGGGGTCGCATATAGGATCCAGGGCTGGGAGAGGGGTCGCACGTGGGACTCAGGGCCGGGGGAGGGGTCGCACGTAGGATGCAGGGCAGGGGAGGGGTCGCATATAGGATCCAGGGCTGGGAGAGGGGTCGCACGTGGGACTCAGGGCCGGGGGAGGGGTCGCACGTAGGATGCAGGGCAGGGGAGGGGTCGCATATAGGATCCAGGGCTGGGAGAGGGGTCGCACGTGGGACTCAGGGCCGGGGGAGGGGTCGCACGTAGGATGCAGGGCAGGGGAGGGGTCGCATATAGGATCCAGGGCTGGGAGAGGGGTCGCACGTGGGACTCAGGGCCGGGGGAGGGGTCGCACGTAGGATGCAGGGCAGGGGAGGGGTCGCATATAGGATCCAGGGCTGGGAGAGGGGTCGCACGTGGGACTCAGGGCCGGGGGAGGGGTCGCACGTAGGATGCAGGGCAGGGGAGGGGTCGCATATAGGATCCAGGGCTGGGAGAGGGGTCGCACGTGGGACTCAGGGCCGGGGGAGGGGTCGCACGTAGGATGCAGGGCAGGGGAGGGGTCGCATATAGGATCCAGGGCTGGGAGAGGGGTCGCACGTGGGACTCAGGGCCGGGGGAGGGGTCGCACGTAGGATGCAGGGCAGGGGAGGGGTCGCATATAGGATCCAGGGCTGGGAGAGGGGTCGCACGTGGGACTCAGGGCCGGGGGAGGGGTCGCACGTAGGATGCAGGGCAGGGGAGGGGTCGCATATAGGATCCAGGGCTGGGAGAGGGGTCGCACGTGGGACTCAGGGCCGGGGGAGGGGTCGCACGTAGGATGCAGGGCAGGGGAGGGGTCGCATATAGGATCCAGGGCTGGGAGAGGGGTCGCACGTGGGACTCAGGGCCGGGGGAGGGGTCGCACGTAGGATGCAGGGCAGGGGAGGGGTCGCATATAGGATCCAGGGCTGGGAGAGGGGTCGCACGTGGGACTCAGGGCCGGGGGAGGGGTCGCACGTAGGATGCAGGGCAGGGGAGGGGTCGCATATAGGATCCAGGGCTGGGAGAGGGGTCGCACGTGGGACTCAGGGCCGGGGGAGGGGTCGCACGTAGGATGCAGGGCAGGGGAGGGGTCGCATATAGGATCCAGGGCTGGGAGAGGGGTCGCACGTGGGACTCAGGGCCGGGGGAGGGGTCGCACGTAGGATGCAGGGCAGGGGAGGGGTCGCATATAGGATCCAGGGCTGGGAGAGGGGTCGCACGTGGGACTCAGGGCCGGGGGAGGGGTCGCACGTAGGATGCAGGGCAGGGGAGGGGTCGCATATAGGATCCAGGGCTGGGAGAGGGGTCGCACGTGGGACTCAGGGCCGGGGGAGGGGTCGCACGTAGGATGCAGGGCAGGGGAGGGGTCGCATATAGGATCCAGGGCTGGGAGAGGGGTCGCACGTGGGACTCAGGGCCGGGGGAGGGGGGGGAGGGGTCGCACGTGGGATGCAAGGCTGGCCGAGCTGGTTACATCCCACTCAGCAGTCCAAAGACTTGAGCCTACCAGCACATGGGGCGGGAAGCTGGAGCTGCAGAGCTGGCTGATTTCTCCCTCCGCCAGCAGTTCCCACCCTGTGGGCTGGTGCAGGCTGGCCTTGTCCTGAGGACCATGCCTGCCATGGCTGGACAGATGGGTGTGAGAAGGTGGGTCCCACCCTGCTGCAGGCATGGGAGGGTTTTCCTGTGTTCCTCCCCCTTGTGCAGCACAGCTGGGCCCCAGCCTGTGGACTGCATGGGGCTGCCTCTTCCCTCTTTGCACCAGAAACTCCAGCATTTCACAACTGCTACTGCCACATGGAGCATGGGGAGCCAGGGACTCCCTTATCTGCGCCCCCAGCCCAACGAGTGAGAACCGGGGCACCCAGAGCTCCACGCTGTAGCCAGCACCCCTTCATCTCAGCTTGAAGTCGAAAAATCGCCTCCCTGGGATACTCCAAGATGCCCGCACCCCTGCCATCACCAGCCCTGGGGAGATACTGAGCCACCTGCACTGGGCCTGTCCGCATGGGGGCTGCACGGAGACCCTGCATTAGGGAAAAGCCTTTGGAGGGGCGGGGTCTGGGCCTGCGTGCTGAGCCATGGTGGGAAGCAGAGCCCTGCAGCAGGAGCTCTCTTCCCTGGCTGCAGGGAGTGTCTGCCCCACAGCCTGCCCCACAGCCCGCCCCACTGGGCTGCTGGGTTGGCCCGCAGGGGCGCAAGGCCCCAGCGATGGGCCTGGGAGGAGAAAGAGGCACGCTGGGGGGCTGGAGGGGATGGTGCTGGGAAGGGGAGAGTGAGCCGAGCAGCCCCTCCCCCTCAGACTCGCCCAGTCCTAGGGGCCACTTGCCGGCATCAGGAAAGGCAGGGCTGGCCGTGGAGTACAATACTGCAGCCAGGTTATGGTTGGCTGGGGCCCTGCATGACACTAAGCAGGATGGGTGCTTTCCCCAGACTCCCAGGACAGTTTCTCTGCCCTGAGTGGGGCTACAGGAGAATGGCTGTCAGCGCAGGTAGACCTGGTGCTCTGGCTGGCCCAGTGCTCAGAGCAAACCCTGCACCAGCCAAGCATGGCCTGAGGCAGCCGCAAGAGTCACTGGTCTCTGCTTTGCCTGGCAGATCTCTTCAGCCATCGCCCGCTGCCTTCACAGGTGCATGAGAGCTACCAGGAGCAGCCCTGCTTCACACCCATGGCTGACAGCCTGTACAGCAGCAGTGCTCTGCCTGCCAGTCATGCCAGCCCTCCGATGGCCGCCAGAGCCCTGCCTGCCACGTATGTCAATGCCACAGTCCCACCCAGTGGTCTCCTGCAGGTGAGTAGGGATCACGGCCTGCTTCTCCCTTGCCCTGGGACTGGCCTCTGTTTACCTCACCTCAGTGTCAGGCCCCTGGCATCTGCGTGGTGGGTTCTGTCCCTGTCTCCCTGCCCCTCTGGCGGCCCGGCTGAGTCTGCACTGTATAACCCCTCCCAGCTCAGCCTGCCCGGCTCCTTCCTCAGCCCTGATTTCCCGCCAGCCCCATGGCCCACGGACTCCCGGGTTGGCCTGTGCACCGACCTCAAGCACAAGCCCCCACTCCAGTACGGGCTCCTCAGCAAAAGCCTTGGCATGGAGCCCTATGGCCCTTCCTACTGTGCCCCGGCAGCTCCCCCAAGCGCCTTCCTGCTGGGCCAGGCCCCGCTGTGCCCACCGGCTTCTGCACCAAGAACCAGATTCCATTTCGCCAGCTCCACAGGCCCTTCGCTCCTTAGCCACACGGCCTCCTCACTGTCCACGCCCTGCTTCACCCAGCAGGCACCAGGCCTGGGTGCCAGCGAGGACCTCTTGCCTGCAGCATACCCTGTCCTGTCCAGCGCACAGCCCCTGCCCCCCGGGATGCTGAGCAGCCCCAGGTTTGTCTCCCCCAAAGGGCAGTTGCCGCCAGGGGGCAGCAGGCCGATGATGAAGTCAGCAAGCACCAAGGCAAAGAGACCCCGAGGACTCCCTGTGCCCACCCCCTGTCTGCAGCAGCTCCTGACTGCAGGT